TGCTCTATGCACTTTTGAATGATGAACCTTGAATTTAATTGTTTAAAGTTCTTTTTCTAAGACCACTTTAGATTATTTTTGAAAAATTATTGTAGAATTTAGAAGCTACATTTCACAATGGCAAAGCCAGCACTGTTTGTTTGTTTTTTACAGTAGTTAAGGTGTCTAAGAGGCTTTCTGTGGAAATGAACTGTTCAAGTTCACTTTCCTCCCACCTTAAAAAGAGGTGATACTCAAAAGAAGCTGCTCCTCCTAAGTTCATTCTCACTCATTTGAATTTTCTTCTGGTAGAAATGGTGTATGTGGGTTAGAGTTGCTATTGTTTTATTTTTGCTATGTAGTTAAAAAAACAACAACACGATTTGGCCTGGAGATACATCTTTACCTGATTAGCTCCTTAGGTAGCAAAAGCATTGACTTTGATCATAAAACTATGAGAGTTAGGATTTTTGCTCAGCTCAGGGGTTGGTGTAAAAGGATAGTATCTGCAAACCTTGCTTTCTGAACAGAATTCTAATGATTTAAATGTTCTCTCCAAATTTGGTGACGTGCTTTTATAGAAAAACACACCTGAAAATGTGGGGGACACAACCTCTAAAAGTAAGCCTCAGTCCTTACCAGTCTGCAGGCAAACAATGGCCAAATCAAGCATTCTGGAGCTTTCTTCAACACCTTGTTGTAGAGAAGTTTATATTTACTCTTCAGCTGTAAACTAATGGTTTATTAAAAGTCATTACTTAGCCATGCGTAGCAACAAATCATCCAACGATTCAATAAGGGCACCGGGCATTTCTTAGAATGCTCTAATTAGACAACCAATTTGTAATTAAGTAGAAATGAAAGCTGACCTTTCTCCACGAGATGAAATAACGCTAACCATACGAAGGGCAGGAGATTTATGACTCAAATGAGCCTAAATAAAATTTAAAAGAATGGATCGGGCTTCTTTTGGGAACTATCCCCTTTTCTCCTTGTCAGCACCGATTGAACAAAATATCCGACGTACTGCAACGCGAGCATCGCAACTGTGACTTCGTGCGGGATTGCGATGTGCCACGGTGAAGTGCCACGGGCTGTGCGGGGCAGACGCTCGGTGCAATCCATCATCTCTCACAAGCCTGTCAGCGCGGGCGCAGTGCAGAGCCCGCGTGCAAAAGCCGCGCCGACAGCTGACGGCATTGACAAAGTCAGCATTTTTACTTCCTCGCAGCAAAAAATCAGATTCCTAATTTGGTCCAACAGTGCTCTCTCCTCAGTGTCCGTTCAGGTGCCAAACAACAAAGTGCAAACAGAAGCACTCTCGCTGCCCCCTGCGTGGGGCCTGACAACTCGCCAGGGGCCCGGATAAAGTCCCAGAATCCAGGAACTTGACAGAGAACCGTTTTCTTGCACCAACATCAGGGTGATAGTTCTAACGCAGGCAAAGCCTCTCAAAATCTTATTTCTAAATGTAGCAAAAGGTACATTACATGCAACTTACAAAACTCAGGCTGCAAAGGAGCAAACTTTAATGGCAAGCTTCGGTCCGATGCTAAGCTTTCTGCTCTTCTCTGGCCCTTCCCTTCTTTGTATCGTTTTTTTGTTTCTCTCTTATGGATGGTGCGACTCCAGTTTAACCCTTCCCTTCCTGGTGAAGACCAGAGGCTCCGTGCTCTGCTTTAAGACTTTCTGGAAGCGCTGTTTTCCCCTCAGGAACCTGGTTAAGATCTTAGAGACCTTAGAGTAGAGACCAAACGAGAACCTGCGAGGCTTCTGGCTCCAGAGCAGAAACCACGTGCATTCACAGCGATGGCGGGAAAATATGCCTCTCTGACACTAGAGTTTAAAAACGAGACTTTCTCACAACAGTGGAAGAGAAAATGCCAGAGAGGAGAAAAGCTGGAGGTGAATCAGGATTAGGGTAACGTTTGAGATATGTTGATACTGACACCTTGAATTTATTTGTAAAGTAGATTCCAAGAGGTACCCAATGGGCCTATTTTTTAAGTATTAGGTGTTGAATGGTTTAGTAAGTTAATGAAGTAAGTGCCAATCTAAGCAATTTGTCTTATTTAGGGCTACAGAGGCCATCTCCACCAAACTCATTAGTAAAGGAAGTTAAATAAGCAACACGAATGTGGCAGGAATAGGTGATTATTGCTTATTCTCAATTTTCTTTCTATACTAATATTCGTTATATAATTGAGCTAACAAGGCACAACGTGCAGTCTACTCATATAAATTAATAATAACAATAACAGTAATAATTTATTGAGTGTTCGCTATTTGCCAAGCACTATTTTAAGAGCTTTAATACCTTATTTTTTTTAATAAACAAAATGCATAATTATTTAGGTATTATTACGTCAATATATAACAGATGGAGAAAATATGGCTCCAAAAGTTTGGTTAGGAAAGGTTTTATTTTAGATTTTTCTGCTTTGTTTTTGTTTTTATCTCGAAGAGCCTAACTAAGACTCCATGCTAGTCACCATCAAGTCATTCATTCTTGTCAGATTCCAGTATTTTGTTTCTTTTCCTTAGATTGCTTAAACACTTTTGTATTTTGGTATCACAGAGCGATTAATTTGACCCTCCCTTTGATGATGGAACCAAGATCAGTTGGGATATTTATGCAATCCAGACAACCAGCAAGACTGTTGCAGGGCAGAGACTGTGGTATAAACTCTGTGTTTCCATGACACCGTCCAGCCAATTTTTCCATGTGAAAGACAACAAAGTGGTGGGTGGCCCAGCCACTCCTTTGCCCAGGAATCTGCCCCAGCCACAAACATTACATTTTAAACCAAGTGACCTAAGCTCAAACATGGTGCACAGTCGCGTCATGGGGAGTGATAAGGTATCACTGAGCCATAGCAAGCAAGATCCAAGGGAGCAAACACACACACACACACACACACACACACACACACGCACCTATTTCTAGAGTAAGACGTATGAGAAATAATGCATTCAAAAACGGGGCTGAAGCTGTGCTGGAGTGAGGGAGGTGGTAATGAAAAATCTTGCTAAGGTCCTGAGTGATAGTTGAAATAGACACATACAAACATCTCTTCTCACAACTCTAGAAATACTGTGAAGCCTTACATACTTTGACATCTGGCGAAATCTGAATAGTTTGCCAGATGTGCATTCCTTTTGGCCACAATGAGATGATGCTTAACCCCAGCGTAAGGACCAAGCTAGCATTAGTGCTCTATAGATGAACACACTATTTTTTTTAGAAGGTGGTTATTTCCTTCTGAAAACTCTACTCTTTAGAACTTGGCAGGACATCTCCTCTTTTCCTGTGTTGGCTCAGTCTGTGCTATACATTGGTTTGGCAGCATATACTGAATTCTACCTCATGACTTGGACAGAAAAGTGTATCTTGGATTCGTTATATGTTGGTATGATTTACAGTACACAGACCAGATGAACTCAGGAAGCCCCCAAGGTGTGGAAATTAGAGCAAAGAGAGGGAGGATTTGTGAAATACGGTCTAAAGTTCTGCTGTAGTAAGCTATATATATTTTATTCTTTAAATAAAAAACAAACTATCAAAACATTGGGAGCAACGTGGAATGTCCCTTATTTAAAAAAATGTCCAAAGGTCAAATATGAAAACCAGGTGCTGTGAGCCTTTGAGTCCAGGAAGTGGATGCCTAAGCATTTAGCTTCCTGGTCACTAGCATGTGCTACCTTAGTTATATTTAGCTTTTAAAAGAATAAAAATGCCTATGCATTACCCACGGACACAAACAGTGTGGAGAAGGCCTGTGGGGGGTGGATTTGGGGTGGAGGGGACCAATGGGGGGGAAGGGGACATCTATAATACTTTCAAACAATAAAGATAAATTTTAAAAAATAAAAGAGTAAAACTGTAGCATTGCTTCTTCTTTGGGCAACACATAGATCCAATAATAATAAGGAAAATGGTAATAATGTATAGCGTGTCATACTTAATAAGTAATTTTCATATATGCTCTTCTTTGATTCTTCCCCAGCCCTGCTAAGTATAGTGACAGGTAAGAAAACAGATGTGAGCACACCCAGAAGAGAACACCAGAGACAGTGTCACGCGGCTTTCAGTCTAGGGCTCCTGCCCTCCCTCACACTCTCATGAGCATATTGCTATTGAAATCTATCTTGTACTTCTGTAGAGCTAGAAAACCTAGAAGAACTAGACAAAGACAAATGAAATCATTAGCCTCCAGTCTAGATTCTAATGGAATATGTAATATTTTTCACTTGGGACTGATGTAATACTGTTCCACAAAATGGGAAATCTAGCAAGTAGAAAATAGAGTTTGAATATTTTTGGGAGACATTTTCCACAAAAGAAGAGAAGGGCTCTGGTTAGTTAACATAGAAAATATCTAGCAACCTTGCTATCTATCTATATATCTCCATCTATTAATAGACAACCATCTTCCTATTTCAAATATATGGCTTTGAGTCAACACTTGGCCATGACTCTGAAGTTCACGTCCAAAGCACACCAAATTGCACTTGAAGAAAACAAAGCATAACAGAAGGAGAGGGAAACAGAAAGGCCTTCCTCCTAGAATGGATTTAATTGTTCAGAGCTCAGAGTTCCTGAAGTAGAAGTGGGGTAGAAATTCCCTATTCATAACAAATAGTAGACATCAACTTGTGAGACTGACTGTTATTACTGACATTTCCTCCAAGAAAGTTTATCTATCTATCTATCTATCTATCTATCTATCTATCTATCTATCTATCTATCAAGTATCCATCATTTATTTATCTACCTATTTATCTATCAATCATTTATCTATCTACCTATTTATCTATCCATCTATCTACCTATGCATCTGTCTATATCTTTGTCTATTGTACATGCTTTTGTAGAATTTCAGGAACAGCTTTATATCTGGAAGGTACGGCTGCCTGAAAAAGGTAGGAATATAACAAAAGCTTTCCCCCAAAGCTTCTATGCATTACAAAAGCTTGCACTTGGATAATAGAAATAGCCTCAGGTGACTGAGAACACTTACTGTTGGTTGCATAACGTATGGCGGATGAGGCATCCATGAAGTACTCTGGACCTATGCATCAAACAGCATTTATTAGCACAAAGCAATCACAGAGAGAACTTGGTTCTTGCTTTCAGTGGAGTCACACTAGGTCATAAAAAAGTGGAGTCCATCTGACTTTACAGCTAATTAGTGCTCAGAACTAACAATAGAAAGCACATTCTCAGACCTGATTCATTTGGTCCCTGAAACAGGATAACATGTACAGCAAATTCCTACTTCACTGGAGTTGGCTGCAGTGCCCACATGGACCAGGCCGGGACCTGGAGCATATTTTGAGGATGGTGTTGGAGATGGAAGTATTAGGTAGCCTCACAGACCTCCTACATAGAGGTCAACTCCCAGGGATATCCAGGCAAATAATAAGGAGGCAAGAGTTTACCACTAAGACTTCCTTTTTTCTATGATTAGTTTTAACTTCAAATTCTCAAGTGATTCCCATCTTGGAAATAAGTCCAAGTGGTAAAAGTTGGCGTAAGAATTAAAGAGGTCAACCGAAAATTGGGGGAAATGCTTTGGGGTAAACCCAGGTTAGGCAAGTTTGTAAGTTTTTTCTCTCATGGTAATTGGTATGTAAATATAAATGAGTATTTGAGCCAACTGAGCTGAAACGGGCCTTGTCAGCAGAATGAGAACATCAGCTTGAGGAGCTGACTGTCACAGAGAGGACCTTAAAGATTTTGTTTGCAATATACTCACACAAGCAAAATTGCTAATGCCATTTAGATTTAAAAAAAAAGAAAAAAAAAAAGGAAGTGTTGAAAGGCAAGAATCAACAACATAGGAAATTGCTCTAATTCCTTTTATGAGAAAAGAGAGCTGGGGTTAAATTCCACTTATGAGCCCTCCCAAGTAAAATCACTTTTCTGTGGATATTTTATTCATGTCACCAAAGTGCTCCACACTGGGGCTCAATGGGTGGTCTTGGCTGAAACAGAGGCCAAGATTAGAAAAAAAAAGGGAGGGGAGGGTTTAAAAAAACACCAAAGCGCACATTACAACCAGGCAGGCCTGCAGGAAGAACAAAAAGTGAACAGCACCTGCACGTAGCCTCATGGGCCCCAGCGAGAGGCAATTAGGAAATCAGCCATTCGGAGACCCCAGAACGCAATTTTTTCACGTGCAAGGCGATTCTGTCCACCCACAGACATGTATCAGGAATCTAAGTGCAGGAAATGAATGAAAATGAACTGCTTGCGGGGTGGGGGGGAGGATCAGTTAAGGAAAAAATGTACGTAGTCTCCAGTTTGATGCCCTGACAACCGGGGCATCCTGGAATGAAGTATGTGGCGGCTGAATTAAGGGGACACTTAACTGAATTAGTAGCAGTCAGCAGCGTTAGTGTGGCCCATGGTCGAACCCCCCCCACCCCCACCACCTGCACACCGGAGAGAAACACATGGCATGCACGCTCTTGCACTCTCTCTCGCTCCTTCTCAGACCCCGAGGCTTTAAACAGTGACATGGGGGCCTCTCTCTACGTAACACTGACAGCGATTTCGTTTCAGGATTGGAAGAACCGTCCGAAGAACAGTATGCAGTAAAGAGAAACAGGGAGCGATACCACATCTCTGAGCACTCAAAGAACTGAGATAAGAAGTCGTTTTTTCAGGGAAAAGTATGCCTATTTCAATCCACCTGTGCACATAGAGTTAACTGGCTGCAACATCTGGCTTAGGACACACACCGAGTCTCAGGTTTTCTTGTGCTCCCACATGTGGAAGCCCCGGGGCCTCCTCTGGCCCTTTTGGAACTGACCATGAGGTAAGAACAGAAAGGAGGAATCACCTGTTACCACTCTGATCGCCTTTTCTGTTTCTCGGGGAAAATGATTTAACATCTATCCATGTCATTTTACATGGATACACGGGACAGACTGTGACCAAATGAGATGACAATGATAAAATACGCGGGAGTAAGGGCAGGGGATGCTAGAAACGGGCTTTTAGAAAAGACACACCGGGAAGCGTGACGACCCAAGGAACAGACAGAAAACAAAACCCTCTCTCGGTGGTAAGACAGCGGCCCGAGAGCTGGCGGGAAAGGAGCGCAATCGTGGGAGCGCAGCGGGAAAGAGGAAAAGCTCGGTGGGTTTTATTTTTCAGTGAAACAGATGCACACAAGCCCTGGGAAGTGCAGGCTAATCGGTAACTGGAGCATTATCACCTAGGGATGTGAGTCAAGTGTTGGAGGACAATTAAAAAAAAAAAAAAAGATTCCCCTGCGTCTTTGCCTTGATGGAGTCTATTACTGGCAAGAAAGATCTCCCCTGAGGGGCAGGGGAGCCGGACATACCTGGTATGTGGAGACAGGGGAGGCAGCAATGAATGGCGTGATAGATGTCTGTGGAATCATGCGGTTGGTTGCAATACTGTACGGTGAGGAATAAAATCTGCAAACAGAAAACAACAACAAAAGAAGAAGATTCATAAGGCTGCTGTGCCCGGCCGCTCAGCAAATGCCACCAAGCACCTCTGGGAGGGCCAGAGCTCCGCCCTCAGGTTTGCCCACCATCTTTCAACAGGAGCATCCCGGAGAGTCATCAGGTTTGGTTTCGTCACCGAGAGGAACAGATTGTCCCGGACAGAGAGGACCACTGTGAGTCATCATATAAAGTGGGCCGCACAACATCTCGTATGCCAGGAGAGGGTAACAGTGTGTTTTAACCAGCAGGGAGGGAAGAGCCACGGGAGCTGTTTCGTTCTGTTTTTAAAAGGAGGTGCCATTTGAATGCTCTTTGGGGAGGGGGGAAAGGGCCAAATGAGAGCGCCAGGCTTCATCCAGGCGGCCGCTGTTACTCGGACACAAAGTGCATCGATCTTTTCACTCAGGAAACGGAATCAGCTCCAAGGGAGTTTTGGGAAACTTGCACTAGGCATGAGTCCACACCCTCGTGGAAAAACTCAGCTAAATGCTCCCTCCATGAAAAGAGAAGTGGGCGGTTTGAGTCTAGGTGGAGAGAGGGATATTTTCTGGATTCAATCATGGTGTGGGTGGAGATTCTAGACACATGTGATGTGCTCCTGGAGACTGTAAAAAGCATTGAGTTTTCTAGTCCTTCAGGGTCCTTCGTTGAACAACTGTAGAATGATACTGAGCAAGATCTGGGCTTCACAAATCAGAGGAGGATTGTCCTTCTAGGGGTCCATTAAAGGGTAGCTTCTAGACACTGAAATCAGTGACATACCTGTCTTTGCTTAGACTATACCCTAGGGTCCACAAGGTACTGAACGCTCAAATTCTTCCTCAAAACTTAAAAGCATGTGTGAAGGCCTGGGGTGGGGACTGGGTGCGGGGTGGAAGGGGTCAAGGGGGAAAAAGGGGCACATCTATACTATTTTCAACAATAAAGATAAAGTAAATAAAATAAAAAAATATATAAAATTAAAGCATGTTTCCTCCTTCATGTCTCACTGGTACGTGAAATGCTAGAGTGTCCAGCCAAAGAAAGACAAATGCAGGTTGCCTACAATGGAGTGTCTCACCAATGGGAAGATATCCTGGGGAAATGTGTATCAGGCATAATGCAACCATTATTTCACTTTGCCATACTGTTAGCAAAAAATCAACTACTACTTTTCATTCAAAAAAAATTGTACAACTGAGGTGGGAGTGCTGGGGACAAAAGCTTCATTATACCTCGGGAGTCCCCGATATTTTGAACAGAGAATCTCATGGGTTACCTTTCCACAAGACTCACGCTGAAGAAAGGGGGGCTAGATTTCAAGGGTACCATTTAAGGAGTAAATTCTTTGAGCTTATACTCTATAAAAGTCTCCAAGCAACCAATGGGAAACTACAGTCTCAAATTTACTTTATCTAGCTCTCAATAAGGACTTTAATATCATTCTTTTGGTTAAAAAATATGGCTAAAAAATTATTCCCTTATACATCCTTCTATTCATACCCACCAGACCTTTATATTTATAGTTGTGCAGTTTGCAAAAAAGCTATTGATTACACAACTATTAGAACGGACAATTTTTTTTAATGACAATATTAGTGCTGGCAAGAATTCAGAGAAAGTAGAACTCTCACTCATTGCTGGTGGAAATGCAGAATGGTACAGCCCCTGTGAAAAACAGGTTGGAAGTTTCTTATAAAGTTAAACATGCACATCACATATAACCCAACAATCCCACTGGTAGATATTAACTAAAGATAAATGAAGACATATGTTTGCACAAAAATCTTAATGCAAATGTTTATAGCAGGTTTATTGATATTTCCCAAAGGCTGGAAACAAGCCAAAGATCCTTTAACTGAATCAATAAACAAACTGGTACGTCTGTACAATGGACCACTACTCATAAAAAGGAGAGAAATACTGCTACATTTAACATGATGAATCTTGATTGAATTATGCTAAATGAAAGAAGTCAGACTCAGAAGACTCTACATTTTATAATTCCATTTATATCACAATATAGAAAATGCAGAACTATAAAGACAGAAAATTGATCAATGGATGCCAAAAGCTGGAGCTGAGGGAAGGGGTTGACTACAATGGCACATGAGGGAACCTGGGGAAGTGATGTAACACTTCTATATCTTGATTGTTGGAGCTTAAATGACTCATAGAACTCATAGAATTGTATACTGCAAAGAGTGAATATAAATTCTATGTAAATTATACTTGATAAACCTGATTTTTAAAAGAAGTCAATTGCTATGCCAGAAAACATTCATCTTTCCATTTAAAAAATTTTTCTGAGTATTTACTATGTGCACCAAAGATGAGGAAGACTTTAAAACATTCCTTTGAGTTTCTCTATTTAGCCACTTAAATCAAATCTTGTCTGTACATGAATCAGTCTAAAACCCTCCAATAGTTTCCCATTGCCATGAGAACAGAATTTGAATTCCTGATATTGGCTAGTGCAATGAGGCTATTGCCTACCTCTCTAATATTTTCTCCTACCCCTCTGCCCCTAGCCAATTAGGATCCAACCATACTGACCTTCTATTGTCACATGATCCTGTCATTCTCACGCCCATCTTGGATTACTGAATTTACAATTCTCTCTACCTAGAATGTTCATTGCCCTAAATCTCCCTAAGGCTACCTCTTGTTCATTACTGGTCTCACTCAGCTTTCACTTCTTCAGAGAGGCCTGTAGCTAAAGTAGTAACCACCATCTCTGTCCCAGTTGTTCTCTATTCCTTTCCTCTAATTGATTTTTTCCATTGCTCTTATCACTATCTGAAATAGAAAAAAGAATAAAAAATTGATGTATTTTATGGGCTAAATGTTTGTGTCTCTCCGAAACTCATATTGACATCCTAACTTCCAGTGTGGTTATATTTGGAGATGGAACCTTTAAGGAAGCAATGAAGGCTGAATGGTCTGATGGGATTAGTATCCTTATAAGAAAAGACACTAGAGAGCTTGCTTGCTCTCTCTCTCCACACATACACAAGGAGAAATTGCCACGTGCGGGCACAGTGAGAAGGCAGCCGTCTACAAGCCAGGAGTAGAGTCCTCACCAGAAACTAAATCTGTCAGACCTTGATCTTGGACCTCCAGCCTCCAGAGCTGTGAGAAGATAAATTTCTGTTTAGAGCCATCCAATCAACGGTATTTTGTTATGGAAGCTGGACTGACTGATACAATGTATGTATTGACTATTTCTCCCTCTAGACTGACAGCTTTGAGAATGTCGAGGACACACTGGCTTTGTTGTCTAGAACAGAAATGGAGACACAGTAGATCATAGTAGCTACAAGTTGAATGAAAGAAAGAATGAATGAATGATGAATAGTGAGCAGTTTAGGAAAATAAGCAGTGATCACAGTACAGGATGGCCAATGCCAAGAGGGTGGGACAGTAGAAGACGGTTCCTGAACTGACAGAAAACAGGGGAGGGAGCCCAGAGAAGATGGGCCAGCATCACATATCTAACAAATGCTCAGGGGGAACATAACTAATACGTGCTTTCTAAGCATGCAAAAGGTATTAGTAACTAGGAAAAACAGTCCCTTTCTACAACAATCATGGCTTGCATTTACAAATCGCCTTCAGGTCTTATCTTTGACAAATGTTACTTATGAGGCAGTGAACGAAAGATGTATCTGGGGCTCACAATGACAGGAGAGGCACCCATGGCCACTCCACAAACAGTCCTCTCATCCCGTTTGCAGCCTCTTACACCAACAGAGAGCACAGTGCACCGCATTTTAGTGTGGCTGGTTTATTTCGTAAAATGTACCAATTGGAGTATTAAAAATGAAAGCAATAAAGATTGGAATGACAGGCAGAGTTCACAGGAATTTCTACAGGGAAAACAGAGGGCAGAAACATAAAGAAACCAGTCAAGGAAACGGATACTAACAAAGGGAGCCCTTGGGGGTAAATTGAATGCATTTTTGTTCTATCTACTCTAGTCCTATCCATCAAACAAGAATGCTATTTCATACTTTCTAACAAGTTCCAGTACCGCTGCTGAAGTCAGAGAATATATCTTCCCAGAAAACATACTGGGAGGAGCGGCCTCAGCATCCTGTCGTGATCCCCTAATTCTGGTTTTCTGATAGAAGCTCTTCCCAAGTCCAAACATAAACCGGAAGAATTTACAAGGAACCCTTGCCTAAACCATGACCAGAGAGCCTGTGACTATATTGAAGGCCTAGGGATACAGTATCTAAAGAAAATACACAGGACCAGGCTCCAAAAAGAAAACTGCAGAATGTTTCTCAGTCTCTTCACTCTTTCCCAGCCCCTGCCATGTATCTGTCGTGATTGAAAATGACTTTCACGTAACCAGCACATTTAAAAAAAATCCAAACAAATACTTCAAGCATAGCTGTTGTGTTACTGGGGAACAGGAAAGAAAAAATGGACAGAACCTGTCAGCCATAATAACAAAACTTAGGTAATCCTAAACTCGCGACTTGATGCTGTGTGTATCTGTTATATATGCATTATGCTTTGCAAAGGGTGGTACAGAAAACTGGGAATGGATTCTTTAACAAACTATTGTCCTGGGAATAGTTGACTCTCTTACGAGATATTTCTTTGCCAAAATACACATAGCATGATGTGTGTGACAAGTATTCCTTTTATACTTTGCCCAGTGGTTCTAAGTTGGAAGTGATTTTGCTCCCCAGGGAACACTTGGCAGGATCTACAGACATTTTTGATTGTCACAACTGGGTTGGAGGAGGGGGGTTGCTACTGGCATCTAGTGTGTAGAGGTTTGCAATGCTGCTAAATGTCCTACAATGCACAGGACAGTTCCCACACTGAAACCTATCCAATCCAAAATGTCAATAGTGTTGAGGCTGAGAAACCTTGCCTTAGGAGTATGACTAGTTATGTCTGGGGAGGTTTCACATGAACAAAATATCAAATGCCAGAGTGGCTAAAAGAAGTTAACTAAGGATGGTCTGTCT